TCTAAATAATTTATACCCCAGGAAAAAATACAAGAACACAAGAAAAATTAAATAAAAGACTTAACCTCAGTACCCTGTCTGTCGTCTTTAACGAAACTTGTAGAAAAGAGGATTGCTGCCCAAATACGATATATATATATATATATATATATATATATATATATATATATATATATATATATATATTCTTTATGAAGAGTAAGAAAAATGCGCAGAAATTTTCCGTGTAGTTTATTAATGTAATGCGACTCGTTTCAAATTAAATCAATATGTTTTTTTAATAAAAAGTGTTTTCATTATATTTAAACGTATATAGAAGTTTAGTCTTTATTAAAAAATATTTATGTGAAAATAGGAAATTGACTAAAATCCACAAGGATACAATAAAAAGTAAATAACAAAACATGAATTTTTTCTTATTCGGACTAATGTCCTCATCAGCTATATTTATCACAACGTTTCAGCCATTGTACGCTCCGGCCTTCTTCAGGTGGTTGGAATGTCGAACTGGGGGTAGACTGTTCTAGCGAAATAAACGGTTTTTTAAAAAAATCTGAAAAGTAGAAAAATATAATGGTATGAATAAATTATTGTACTTTCAAAAACTTTTCCAACTTATAAATACGACCTTCTTTAGATCGATTATTTTTTTAATAAAAATCGTAAAACATTAAAAGAAAATTTTCAACTCGTATCATTTTTAAAAGGAACTAAAAGCAAATAATATAAAAATGAATAAACATAAATAAATGATATGTACATGAAAAAAAATCAATAACAACGAGAGCAACAACCTAAATTCACTTTAGTTTATTAAGTCACTTAGCGACTTCCATAATTTACATTTCCTTCACGCAATAAAAGATTCTAGAAAATTTCTTGCTCGTTCACTAATTCATACATTTGAACACTTAAAGTTAACTTTTCCTCCGTTAGTTTTGTTAATAAATATACGTTATTAAATAAGTTCGCTATATTTACATACATAAACTTCACCAATGAGGGAAGACATTGGCATAATAGTTTTTTCCAGTTTTATTTTATCAATATATATATATATATATATATATATATATATATATATATATATATATATATATATATATATATATATATATATATATATATATGAACTATATTTGTTCATAAATATATATATATATATATATATATATATATTATATCCCCAAGTGGGGTATGTATATTTATGTGTTTGTATATATGTACATGTATATATATGTGTATATATGTATACATGTGAATATGTATGTATGTGTATGCATTTTATATATGTGTTTATGTGTGTCTTTGTATGGATGTGAATATTTGCATTTTTTATATGTATATACCACACACACACATATATATATGATGTATTTTATAATTATGAAGATTAATTAGATATAATGAATTAAAGATTTTTTTTATATATTATATTATTTATTTTTCAGTCTTTTCTAGATATATGATGATGGTTGTCAGTATATTGACGCAAGTTAGATGACGACGATATAAATTTTGATTTAATTCCCTCACCTATCCCTGCTTATTGTGCTGACACCATGTTTCTCCTTTTTCTTTCCATCACTTCTTTCTTCAATAATGTAAATGGCCAGGAAATTTTTCTAGTCAAGTAATTTAGACATTTATTTCCCTTTCTCTTGTGAATTAATTTTAAAATTATTGTTTAATAAATTGTCTTGATAAATTTAAACCATTTTGTAATTTCGGTTTGATGAGGCAGATATAAAAAATATTTGTCGAAATAAATCTATTACCGAATTCTTAGATGTAAATTAGTTTGTAAATACATTGAACCCTCTTCCTGGATCTCCCTTTTTAATATTTATATTTAAAAAGATCTACATGGATTATCCTTACCACTTCCGGATTTGATACTATTCTCTCTCTCTCTCTCTCTTTCTCTCTCTCTCTCTCTCTCTCTCTCTCTCTCTCCGTTGATATATAATCCAAGTGGATCCTAGTAATATAAAATATTAAAACTGTTCCACAAAAAAATTCTCACTATATAGATAATTACAGACTAAATTATTAATACACAATAAAATCCAAAATCTTATTTCGACAGATGAAAATGGATATTTCGTGTCGGAATCATAAATTTAACCGTGAAACATTTAAAAACGGTAAAAAATGATGAGAGTTTATACATTTCAATGTTACAGTCAGACGAAATGCACAAGAAAGTGGTCAGCGGAGGGTGGAAGTTATTTGTCTTAAAGGGAAGAACTTTTATAAAATTAAACCCGGGTATTAACCTTATGACTGGAGTTATATGAAGAATGAAATATTTATTTAAATCTAAAACAGCAATAAAAAAGGGGTTTAAAAATAACTTTAATTTATATCGATAAAGTTATATTCAAAAATTCAAAGTCATATTTAACGATACGAAGTTATATCCAAAAACAAGTTACATTTAAAAATAAGCTATATTTAAATAAGTTATTTTTTTAAAATAATTTATATTTAAATAAGTTATATTTAAAAAAGAAATACAGTTATATTAAAAATAAGTTATATTTAATATAATAAAATAAATAAGTTATATTTAAAAATAAAAATATAATAAAATAAAAAATATTTAAAATAAAAAATATAAAAATAAATATAATAAAATAAATTAAAACTATAATGACATATATAATAATAAACACCAAAAAACTGCATGGAGGGAAAATAAGGAGCCACGACTAAATAAATTTATTACGAAAATAATAAATCGATGTAAATCCCAGTATGTAGTGGTTATAAAACAGAAAAAATGTACTGAGATAAAGAGAACAAAGAAATCTCCACTTCCGCTTTGTATCCACTTGGGGTTTATTTACATCTATGTATTTTTAATAATGAATTTATTTTAGTCGAACCGAGTTTAAATCCTAGCCGAGTTTCTAATATTCACTTACATAAAATACTTTGCGAAAGATTGAATAACTTGAGAAAGGCAGGGATCTATTTCTTTATCCAAATTTTTAGCAGGTCACCCCACAAGTTCTGTCCGAATTTTAACTTTTTGTTAAAATGAACGACATTTAAAGAGTATTTTATAATGTCTAATGGAGCTGAACTTTATTTTTATGTTTAGATGCATTTAAACTGATCAACTTTTATTTCAGAGAACAATAAAATTAAATTTTGTTTGATTAAAACCCTGCTAACATGGAAGTACCCAAGAATCATTTGAGGCCCATAATGCTTTATGAGTTCAAGAAAGTAAACTCAGCAGCCGAAGCGGCTAGAAACATTCACTAGTTTATGGAGAGGAATGTGTGAATGAAAGAACTTGCAGAAGATGGTTTGCAAAATTCAGAGGTGGAGATTTCACCCTTGAAGATAAAGATCGAACCGGACGTCCAGTTGAGTTTGATGAAAAGCTTCTTGAAGCAGCCCTTGAAGAAAATCCTGCCTTATCAGTTGAGGAATTGGCAGTGGTTCTCAGTTCAAGCAATACAACTGTTCGTCGTCATCTTCAACAACTTGGAAAAGTTCCTAAACTTGGAAAATGGGTTCCTCATGAATTGTCTGAAAACAACCTCAAATCCCGAGTTGACATCTGCTCTTCTCTCCATTCTCGCCAACTTGTTTCACCTCTTTTGGATAGACTTGTGACTGGCGACGAAAAATGGATCTTATATCGAAATGTTAAGCGTCGTAGACAGTGACTTGTTAAAGGGGAAGGACCCCAGCTACAGCCGAGAAGGGAACTTCATGGGCAAAAGGTTCTTCTTTCAATCTGGTGGGATCGCCAAGGAATAATCCACTTTGAATTCTTACCACCTAATGCAACAATTAATGCTCAAATATACTGTCAACAATTAGAGCGTTTGAACCAAGCTTTGAGGAAAAAAAAGACCTGCTCCAGTGAATCGAAAAGAGTTGATGTTTCATCAGGACAATGCGCGACTCCACACAGCAAGAATCACGTCACAAAAGATCGAAGAACTTGGTTGTGAGAAATTCCTCATCCACCTTATTCCCCCGATCTTGCTCCTTCAGACTACCATTTGTTTCGTAGCTTACAGAGTCATTTTGAAGAAACAGCTTGTGTAACACAGGAAGAAGTTAAAACTGACATTTTTGAGTTCTTCGAATCAAAGCCAAAAGAATTTTACAGTAATGGAATTAGTAAGCTTGTTAATAGATGGAAGGAAGTCATAGATAATCAGGGAAAATGCATTGTTGATTGAATCTGTAATTAAATGTAACATTTGGTCACGTGTTTTCTTTATTCAAAATTCGGACAGAACTTATGGAATGACCTGATATTATTGGGGGAGAAGGCCAAGTCTGAAATTTAGACCTGTGTGGTTGTTGGGGGACCATGTGGCGCATTTATCTCTCTGTATTCGGATCTTGTAAAAATGTTTCGGTTCTGCATAAGTGTTCGCAACTATAATCAAATCCTATGACCTATGCCCTCTACACTCAGTGACATTTCTTTGCTTATTATTCATTATTGAGCAACTATCTTTAATCATTTGAATCACTTATAAAAGTGTAATGTTTAAAATAATAAGCATCACCGCCTTTCTTCTGGCAAAATTTGGTTTAGCTGTGACTGTCATCCATGTTTAAATTTTCACGTATATATTATGAAATGTTTTTTCCTTAAGCAATATTCTCATTGGTGATATAATATTCCGTGGACTTCATTTGACAAACAGAATTATTGATACTCAGGAAAATTAAGTCTTGTTTAATATGGAGGAACTAGTTGCATCTGAAAACTTGGGACAGACAGACACTTGCCCAGTTGGCATATATATATATATATATATATATATATATAGATAGATAGATAGATAGATAGATAGATAGATATAGATATATGTGTATGTGTGTGTGTGTGTGTGGAAACATAAACATTCTTGTAAGAAATTTTAGGAACATTTATAAATTTAGGAGAATTTAATTGAATGTGAATGTGGAATGAAGGTGAAAAAAAAAGACACCGAGTGAAAAAGCAAGATATTAGT